GCTATGGGTTGGAACCAACTAGAAAGCAGTAAACAACAACAACACCAAAAATGGGGTGGGGTTGCTATAAAGGCATAAAGTGTCTGGCTTAAAAGTTTTCAAGAGGGAGTTTAGTTTCAGAGTGTGCTGGGGAAGGTAGAATCCCCATTGAGTAGTTTTTGTCCTGTCTAGATGGGTCCTGGTGTGGCGTTGTGTGTTAATGCATCAGACTGCAAAGCTGTTTGAACTGCAAGGTCAGAGGTTCAAGCTCACCAGCTGCTCCTTGGAAACCCTATACAGGGTTGCTATGGGTCAGAACTGACTCGATGACACTTCACAACAACAAAAACAAGATGGGTCTGGTGAAAGTAGATGGGGATAAGAATCTTATGATTCAATAGTGAGTAATTGTTATCATGAGTACAGTGTCACAACAGTAAACGTAGAAGTTTTATAGCAAAAAGGGTGGAGTGATTGATCTTACAGTCCCAGAATGGATGAACCTTATCCAGAGAAGGGGCAATGCCAGAAATGGAAGCAGAGATGATGAGGTGGAGAGTTTGAGCAACTGAGGACTCTAGACTTCTGTAGAGAGAGGGGCTGTGTGCTGGGAGCCAGGGCAGGCTCACAGGATGTGCCCTTTGGTTGTTTGAAGGGTTGTATATTCCAGAGTGTTTGTCATACATTAGGAAAAAAAAAGGAACACAAGCAAACACTGTTGAATGATGAAGCATGGTGGAGATTGTAATAATTACAATGAAATAAAATACAATAGAATGGGTGTAAAACTGCTGTTCTCCTATGTAAACTTTCACTCAATTAACAATAAAATCTTTATTAAAAAAAAAAAAAGAAGAAGAAGAAAACCATGGCACACACTTCTCCTAAATTTAAACCATTCAGTGTTGCCTTGTTTTATTCTACCAACTGCCTCTTGATGTATGTACAGGTTCCTTATGAGCACAATTAAGTGGTACAGAGTACTCATTCTTTACAATGTTGTCCATAGCTTGTCATGATCCACACAATCAAAAGCTTTAGCGCAGTCAATAAAGTTACAGGTAAACATGTTTCTGGTATTTTCTGCTTTCAGCCAAGGTCCATCGGACATCAGCAATGATATCCCTATTTCCACATCCTTTTCTGAATCTGACTTGAACCTCTGGAAGTTCTCTGTCAATGTATGGTTGCAGCCATTTCTGTATTACCTTTAGTAAAATTTTTCTCACATGGAATATCAATGATATTGTCTGATGAATTCTGTATTATGCTGGATCACTTCTCATTGGAATGGACACAAATAAGAATCTCTTCCTTTCAGATGGCCAGGTAGTTTTCTTCCAAAATTCTTGGCATAGATGAGCAAATGCCTCCAGTGATTCATATTTGTTGAAAGATTACAATTTGTATTCCAAGATTTCAGTTTGTATAAATGTGACGAAAGAATGCATCTTTCCTGATTTGAAACCATTAAGTGGTGCCTTGTCCTGTTCAAAAGAGTATCTATCTCTAGGTTCCTTATGAGCAGCTTATTGTTCTAGAACACTCAATCTCTGCAATATTGCCTATAGTTTGTCTTGAGCCACACAGTAAAAAGTTATTTGAAAGTCAATAAAGCACAGGTAAATGTCTTTCTGACATTCTCTGATTCAAGTCATGATCCATCCTATGTCAACAATGATAAACCACATTTCCCGTCCTCATCTCAATCAGGCTAAAATCTCTGGACATTTGTCATTTCAGGCATCATAAATCATATAACTGTCAGATTCAAAATGGCCAATACTAGTCCATTTAGCTCACTAATGCCACAATATCTATCTTTATGCATTTCATTTATTTTTGGACAACACCCTATTTTCTGAAATTCATACTTCAAACGTTCTATGTTCTGAATATTAATGTATTTTCAATGTTTCTCTTCATTTTTATTAGTTTAAGAATTAGCTGTTAAAACTGATGGTACTGTAGAAAATACTCCATCTGCACAAAGATGTTTGCAAAAAAAGAAGATTCCAAGAATTGACAGCATACAAATGGAAATTTTTAAAGAAACTGATCCTGCACTGGAGGTTTTCATTCAGCCATGACAAATAATTAGAAAGACAGATATGTAGCCAACTGATAGCAACAAATCTGATTTTCATTTATGCTAAAGAAAAGTACCTAACAGAATGTAGAAATCTTAAAACAACCTAATTAATATTACATGCAAGTAAAATTTTGCTTAAGATAATTCAAAGTGGCTATAATAGTATATCAACAAGGAACTGCCAGAAACTCAAGCCAGATTCAGAAAACAAAAAACCACAGAACCGAACCAATAAATATGGTGATTATAATGAAGTTTACTTGACAAAATACTCTGACAAGCCAGCTTAATAAAGAAGAACATGGGATCATGATTGGATGAAGATTTATTTAAAACATGTGATACATACATAATGTCAACTTGTTTGTTGAAAGTGAAGTTTTTTTGGTACACTGATGAAGATCAAAGACTACAGCCTTCAGTAGGGAATACACCTCAGTGTAAAGAAAACAGAAATCCTCATAGCTGGACCAATAAATAACATCATAATAAATTGAGGAAAGATTGATGAATTCAAAACTCCATTTTGGTTAACTATACAAACAACTCTAAAGGAAGAATGAGTTTATAAATCAAAAGCATATTGCATTAAGCAAATCTGATACAAAGACCTCTTTAAAGCATTTAAAACATAAATAAATAATAATTGTAGTAGTACTTCAACAGGTAGCTGTCAGAATTAAAGCTAGATTCAGAAGAAAACATAGAATGAAATATATCCTTGCTGACATCACATGGATCTTAGCTGATAAGATCAAAGACTACAGCCTTCAGTATGTATAACATCTCAGTGAAAGAAATCTTGTCTATAGAAAAGAACACCATGCTTGGTAAATATGGATTGACATTGTATTAGCAGCATGTGCTCAAGTGTAACAATTGTGAGAATGGCTGAAAGCTGGGCAGTGTTTCATACTGACTTACAGTACCCTAAGCACATCACAACAAAACACTGCCCAGTCCTGCCCTATCCTCACAATTGTTGTCAAGTTTGAGTCCATGGTTGTAACCACCGTGTCAATCCAATCTTCTTCTTTGTCAGTGACTCTCTACTTATTCAAGTATAATATCCTTTTCCAGAGACTTGTCCCTCCTGATACCATGTGCAAATTATGTGAAAGGATGTCTCATCATCCTTGCTTCTAAGAAGCACACCTAATCCCCCTTTTTTTTTCTTCACTGCACACCTTCCAAGACAAATCTGTTATTTTTTTTGGTAATACATGGTACTTTCAATAGTTTTCAACAACGTAATTCAAATGCTTTGATTCTTCTCTGGCCTTTCCTTTTCTTGACTGCTGCTTCCACCACAAGGACTAATTGGGCCAATTGATGGAGGTGATCTTTATAGGAAAGTATTAGAAGAACATCAGAAGAAAGCCAGATAGAAAGTCAGTAGCACAATGGGAGGATTTCTACCCTTTTATCCCAACATGTGATATAGAAAAATAACTATGGAGCAGAGAGACAAATGCTTGGTGTCCAGCATTTTTGGTATACCAGATTTTTGGTATGCAGGAAGAAGATACATACAAAATAATACTGGACATGTTGAGCAAAGCCATATTGCCAGTTTCTATGATAATTTCTCTCATATATTCCCTCAATGTGATCTCTTGTAGCTTTAAGATATTCAACATAAACACACAAGGGGTAAAAACTCAAGCACACTTGTCAGTGTCAACAACAGTGAATGTTCAATATCTGCTGACTATTACTTGCTGGAGTGTTTTGAAAAATCTTCCAACTCACCACAAACTTCAGTCTAATTGAATCATACTCTCTGGTGGTGCGATGCAGGAATGAGTATTGTGCGAGGTCACTAGTCGTTTGCATTATGAAGACAAAGTTTAGGAAACATAATGATATTTCTAACACCTGTATTGAATTGGAGCTCTGATAGCATAGTGGTTACAAATCGGGCTGTGAACCGCAAGGTCAGCAGTTTGAAACTACCAGCTGCTCCGTGGGAGAAAGATGAGGTGTTCTGCTCCTGTAAAGATTAACAGCGTTGGAAACCCTGTGCAGGGTCGCTGTGAGTCGGAACCGACTCCGAGGCACATAACAACAACAATATTGAATTGGAGTTCTGGTGTGGCACTGTGGGTTAATGCACCAGACTGCAAAGCCCTTTGAAATGTAAGGTCGAATGTTCAAGCTCACCAGCTGCACCTCAGAAACCCTATATAAGGTTGTTATGGGTTGGAATCAACACAACTCTACTTAACAACAGCAACAACATAGTGAACAAAACAACATATTCAACATAAAGCACTGGATTGCAAGGCTGGTTTGAACCAAAAGGTTGGCTGTTCAAACTCACTAGTCACTCCTCGGAAACTCTATACAGGGTCGGTGAGTTGGAACCAACTTCACTGCACTGAATAACAACAAACATATTGCATAAATGTGCTGTCGTTGTTAAGTGCCATCATGTAAGCTCTGACTTATAGCAACCCTGTATAGGGTTTCTGAGAAGCAGCTTGTAGATTTGAAACACCGACCTTGCAGTTCAACCTTACCTTTATTTCCAGTGTGTTAACCTGCAACACCTCATCAGGATTCCACATTGCATACATGAATAACATAAATGTAAACTTATGGACAATAGGCATGAACTATGGAAAGTACAGAGGACTTCTTAAAAAGTAGATCTGTGCATTTCACTGCATGTCTTTGTCTAAAGTGACAAAATTAGAAGGCTTCATAGATGCTACAGGACTCAGTTGACAGATTCTTTGATGAACAATGAATTCCAGAATATCCCCCCATTTTTCAAAATTGTTTCCAATAACATTATGCTGACATAAAACACTAAAAGTAATGAAAGCTACAAAAATTATGTGAACAAATGAATATGTTTCCCAGATCCATTGTTTGGTTTTCCTGCCTAGTCTAATTCACAGCCAAAAAAATGATTGTACCAATATTAAAAATAGACTGTTCTACTAAGAAGCCTCTGCAGTGCTCTCTTGATGTCCCTGTTCCTCAAACTGTAGATGAAGGGGTTCAGCATAGGGGCAACAATGGTGTACATCACTGAGGCAACTGCACTCCTCTTAAGAGAAGGTAAAACAACTGAACTGAGGTACACTCCAAGGCCTGATCCATAAAATAAACAAACGACTGACAGATGAGAGCCACAGGTAGAAAAGGCTTTATACTTCCCACCTGATGATGGGACTTTCAGAATGGAGGAAACAATTCGTGTATAAGAGAAAAGGATCCCTGAGACTGGACCACCACCAAAGATGGCACTAATACAATACATCAACATGGTACTGGTAGAAGTGTCAGAACAGGAAAGGTTGATGAGTAGTGAAGGGTCACAGAAGAAGTTAGGTATTTCCACATATGTGCAGAATGTAAGTTGTGATACCATTAAGCAGTGCAACTGGGATACTAAAAGGCTAATAAAACAAGATGACAAAAGTAGCAGCCTACAGAGTCGGGGATTCATAATAACCGTGTAATGCAAGGGATGGCAAATGGCAACCAACCTGTCATAGGCCATTGCAGTGAGTAGAAGACTGTCCATACACCCAAAAAAATATAACAAAGATAACTGAATTAGACAGGCGGTATAAGGGATGCTTCTGAGGTGTGTGTGAAGATCAGTAAGTATCTTTGGGACTGTGGAGGAAGTAAAGCCAATGTCAGTCAAGGACAGATTGGAGAGGAAAAAGTACATGGGGATGTGCAGTTGGCTGTCAGAGATTACGACCAGGATAATGAGCAGGTTACCAAGTATGATGACCAAATACATGGATAAGAAGATTCCAAAGAGGGGAGTTTGCAAATCGGGATCATCTGAGAGGCCCAGGAGAAGGAATTCAGAGATAGATGTTACATTCTGTGGTTCCATGTGGCATAGGCACCTTTGGGGAAAAAAAGAGAAGGCATTGTAAAATGAGAGAAACAAATGGATAATTGGCATGGTGATTACAGTATGAATTCTGGAAATTCATATGTAAAGCATTCCCACTTAAGTACCATATACCACCTTCAACAATGTTTATCAATTAAAGAAAAACCACTATTTCTAGAACTCTTTCTTCATTGGTTTCTGAACAATCCCATGAGACTGAAGACACTAGGCTGAAGAATGTAAGAGGGACAAAAACATTTAAAGACAACAAATTCATAAAGACTAGAAAACTTTAAGACGTCAACATTCCATGACCTACAAAAAAATAAAAAACATAATCAAACATCTGCCAACAATTCCACAGCCAAATGAACACTGGAGATTTTTAACATAATTTACAGCAGTGACTGTAATACTTTTTAAACTTAAAAAAACAAAAACAAAACATTGAGAAAGGAAATGCTCCTTAATTTATTCTATGAAGCTAACATTACCCTGATACCAAAACAAGGCAAAGATATCACAAGAAAGGAAAACTACAAACCAATATCCCTATAAATATAGATATAAAAATCCTCAACAAAATATTAGAAAATATAATCCAAAGCTATATCAAAAAAATTCATCATCAAGTATAGTTTATCCCAGAAATGCAAAGGTGGTTCAACATTAGAAAATCAATCAGTTTAACACACCATATCTATTTTTTGTTGTTGAATCCGTTTCAATACATAGTAACCTTGTATAGGGTTTCTGAGGAGTAACTGGTGAGTTTGAACCACCAAACTTGCAGTTCACAATCCTAAAGCACCAAACATGCAGTGCTTATCCTAGAGCACCACACCAAAATTACTAATACATCAACAGGACAAAGAACCACAGAATCATCTCAATCAATGCAGAAAAGGCTGTTGAAAAAATCGAACATCTTTCATGATAAAAACACTTATTGATACAGCAATAGCAGGAGGACATTTTTGAAAAACACACAATTAACTATTAAATGTATATGATCCAAAAGTAGCAAGAAAAAGCTGTTAGAACTAAAAAAAGAATCTAGCAAAGTGGCAGGATACAAGGACAAAATCCAAAATAGAATTTTCACACATCAAAAAGAAACCAAATTGACTAGAGTGGAGAAAGAAGCATCCAGCTGATAGGAAGAAAGGGAATGTGCACAAGAACACCCACACTTACACATAATGCCCTCTTGACTTGGCTTCAATGTCTGGATGATCAGAACTCAACTAGAAGAGAAAGAAGAAGATAAAAAAAGAGTAATCTAATACAATTTTATGAACTTGACCTACACCTATGGATGCAGTAACTCGAAAGAGGGAGCAAATCTTTATTGTGAGGATTATTCCCACCCACTTAATACACAGGGTAGACAGGGATGGGTAACTTGGAAATTGGCGACCCAAAATAGGGGGGCTACAAAGGCAAGAAATGACTGGCTTATAAGCTTTCAAGAAGGAGACTAGATCCCTCTTGGAAGCGTGGAGGAAGTTAGAATCTCCACTGAGTAGTATCCAATCTGTCTTGGCGGGGCTGATGAAAGAAGATAGGGAAAGGACTCTTGTGTTACAATAGTGAATAATTGCTATCAGGACTGACTGTGAGATTTGGAAATGTAAAAGGTAGACGTTTTATAGCAAAAGGAGGGAAATGGTTGACTTTGTGGAGGTCCCTGGGACCATCAATGGAGAAGAGTGGAGTACGGGTCCCTACCCAGAGAAACAGTGATGCCAAAGATGGAGACAGAGAAGATGATGTGGCAAGATTGAACAAGTGGGAACTCTAGACCCAGAGAGGGAGAGCCGTTGTATGCTGATGACCAGGGGGCAGGCTTGCAGGGTATAACACTTGGTTGGTTGATGATACATGGAGGGGATTGTAACCATGGCAATGTAATGATATAAGATAGTATGAATGTAAAGCTAATGTTCTCCCCATGTAAACTATCACATAAGTCACAATAAAACATTTTTTAAAAATTGGAAAAATAATTCAAGGAAACAATTCCTTCAACATTACTAAGAATGAAATATGTAGAAATAAATGTCACTAGAGAGGTAGAAGACTTGTACACTGAAAGCTATAAGGCATTATTCAGAGATGTTAGAGTCTCTCTCTCTCTATATATATAAGGAAAATGTAAGGACAATACCTTGGGACCTACTCTTTAACAATGCTGTGTTGTTGACAGGTGTCATCCAGTTAGTTGTGATTCAAGGCGACCAGGTGCACAATAGCAAGAAAAATTGCCTGTTCCTGAAACACCCTTACAATTGTTATGTTTGTGCCTATGAATGCTGCCACTGTGTCAAATCATCATGTTGGTGGGGGAGGGATCTTCTTCTTTTTCACTGATGCTAAACTTTACCGAATATGATGGCCTTTCCCAGAGAATAATCCTTCCTGATTACATGTACTAAGTATGAGAAACAAATTTTTGCCATTCTGGCTTCTACGGAGCATTCTGGCTGTACTTCTTTCAACATAGATTTGTTTGTTCTTCTGCAGGTTCATGGTACATCTAATATTATTCTCCATCATCATAATTATAATGCATCAATTATGCTTAGGTCTGATTTTTGCATTGTCCAACTTTCACATGCTTCTGAGGCAATTGAAAATACCATATCTTGGGGCAGGTGCACCTTGGACCTGAAACTGATATCTTTCTTCCTCAACACTATAAAGAGGTCTTTTGCAACAGATTTGCCTACTGCAATGTGTTGTTTGAATTCTTGACTGCTGCTTCCATGAGTGTTGATTTTAGTTCAAGCAAAATGGAGTATTTGACAACTGCAATCATTATCCACTTAATCATAATGTTATCTGTTGCTCCAGTTGTGAGGATTTGTATTTTCTTTACATTGAGATACAATCCATACTGAAGGTTGTGGTTTCTGATCTTCACAAGTAAGTATCATATGTCCTCTTCACTTTCAGCAAGCAAAGATTGTGTCATAAGCATATCACAGATTGCTAATGAGTTTTCCTACAATCCTTTTTCATATAATCTGCTTCTCTGTTATTAGCTCAACGTAAAGATAAATATGTATGATGGAAATATAAATCCCTGGTGCACAATTTCCCTGATTTTAAACCATGCAGTATCCCACTGTTCTGCTGAATGACTGATTCTGATCTACATAGAGGTTCCTCATAAGCACAGTTAAGTGTTCTGGAATTCCCATTCTTCACAATGGTGATCAAAGATTGCCATGACCTACACAGTCAAACGTCATTGCATAGTCAATAAAATACAAGTAAGCATATTTCTGATATGCTCTGTTTTAAGCCAAGATACAGCTGATGTCAGTAATTATATCCCTAATTCTAAGTCCTCTCTTAAATCCAGCTTGAATTTCTGTCAATTCTTTGTTGATGTACAGTTGCAACCATTTTTTCATTATTGTCAGAAAAGTTTTACTTGCATGTGATATTAATGGTATTGTTTGATGACCTGCATTCTGTTAGGTCGCCTTTCCTTATAATGGACACAAATATGGATCTCTACCAATTAGTTCAGCTCCCGTAAAGATTTACAGCCTCGGAAACCCTGTACAGGGTAGCTATGGGTCTGAACTGACTCGACGGCACTTAACAACAACAACAACAACCAATTAGTTGTCCAGGTAACTGTCTTCCAAATTTCTTGTCATAGATGAATAAGCACCTTCAATGCTGCATCACTTGTTTAAAGGTTTTAATTTGTATTCCATCAATTCATAAATTCTTATTATTAATCATGGACTCATATATAATGATATCAAAAACACAAGTAGTCAAAGACCAAATTAATAAATACATCTCATCCAAATTTAAAACTCCTCTTCATTGAACATTTTTACTAACAAAATTCAGAGACAATCTAAAGATTGGGAGAATCATTTAGAAACCATATTTTGACTAAGTGTTTAATATCCCCAATACATGAAGAAACTCCTACAATTTAATAACAAAGAGACAAACAACTACCTTTTGCTCTGTGTGAGAAAGGATTTTTGCTTCTACAAACATTTACAGCCTTGGAAAGCCCATGGAGAATAACTATGAGTCAGAGCTGACTTGACTGCACACAACTACCACCATCACTACCATTAGTGTTGTTATTGTCAAGTGTACTTGAGTCAGTTCCAACTCATAACAACTTTGTATAGGGTTTCAAAGTCTTTAAATAAGAAATGAGAAGGAGAACATTTCATTTATCTTATGTGGTGGGGCTGCTGGATTCAAGCGGTAGACTTTCTGGTTCCCAGTCTAGTGCCCATCATATGGAGAAACAAAACCCACCCTCTAACCCCATAATTACACTGCTAGGTATATACTTCAAAGCAACAATACAGTTGTTGTTGTTGTTAAGTGCTGTCGAGTCGGTTCCGACCCATAGTGACCCTGTACAGGGTTTCCGAGGGTGTAAATCTTTACGGAAGTAGAAAGCCTCAACTTTCTCCTGCGGAGCGGCTGGTAGTTTCGAACTGCTGACCTTAAGGTTCGCAGCCCGATTTGTAACCACTATGCTACCAGAGTTACATGTACCCAAATATTCCTTGTAGCACTATTCACAA